AAATTGTTCAGCAATTGCGTAAGGCATGATTTGTTGTTTTGCTCTTTCTTCTCAACTTCTGTGCATTGACATTGCTCATTATACAGGGCAGAAGCTGTAAAAAGAGCCAATGGTGTCCATTTTTCTGAGGAGGTAGTAAAACTTTCATCCAATTTTGCAAGGACTTAGCTATTTGCAATACTTAAAAATGTAATTTCTATTCTTCAACTTCATAAATTATGTACAGAAACTTTGCAAGTGGCTAGTTCAACTCCTAATGGCACTTGATTACTTGCATGCCAACCATATTCTTCATCGTGATGTCAAGGTCAGTGGTACTTCTCAGTGAAGATTGGTCAGCTTCATGTATGGGGTTATGGCATTCTAAAGTATATTTTTGTTTCAGTGCTCAAATATATTTTTGACAAAAGATCAAGACATGCGTCTAGGTAACTGGTTCTTTTATGGCTAATTTTAGTGATTTATTTCGTTACTTTTTTTACCATGTCTGAGTTTCCATCTGTGTCTAGCATTCTGTAATTTAAACATAGTGAGTTGCTAAGATGTGGACGTATGCAGGTGATTTTGGTCTTGCTAAGATGTTGACTTCCGATGACCTTGCTTCATCTGTGAGTATCAGACTGATGGTATATGGTTTCTGTACGGTTTCACCATTCACTCTATTTTAATACTATCGTTTTTTGCTCTATATACAGGTTGTGGGAACTCCCAGTTATATGTGCCCTGAGCTACTTGCTGATATACCTTATGGTTCTAAGTCAGATATTTGGTCTTTAGGTACCTTGCAACTACTGAAATTTGAGGGAAATCTGAGTCTGATCACTGTTCTCTCCCCCCCTCTCTCTATTCAGCATATATCTAATGTAATACATGCTTTCAGGATGCTGCCTGTATGAAATGACTGCTCACAAACCTGCATTTAAAGCTTTTGTAAGTTGCTGATCTGCTGTTAACTAAGACCTTTACTTTTTGCCAATTCTTGGCATTATCAAAATCACAATTTCGAAGTAATGTGGAATTTAATGAACTGATCACTGCAAACTATTCTTTCATTCAATTGTTCTTGAAGAACTCAACTATGAGCACCTAATTATTGAGTGCTATGAAATGTAAAATTTTTCATGCTGTTGCTGGTCTTAAAGGATTCAGTTGTTGTACAGTTTAAAATCTTGTCCTTGTTGAGCGTGGTATTCCTGTCTTTCTCCCTCCTCATTCCTCATTGTAGAGCTTGCAGTGCTTGCAATTTGATAATTCCGACCTTCGGCTGAATAGGGGTTTTTAAAGTTAGCCGGGGAGAAAATTTAATTGGGAGAAAGGTGATTACCCTAATTTTAGATTAACTTGCAATAGGTGTCTTAAATTGAAGATTTTTTAAAGGATCATTGGAATAACCATATAGTTTGGAATGTTATTTGTGTCTGCTAATGTTCAAGAAGCAAATTGATCTTCAATGGTGGATTCACAATATTATGGATTATCACCTTACACTCATCATAAATTTGCACACAATCTTAACATACTAGTGCTAAGCTAAATGGCTAATTATGCTGTGAGATGATAGAATCACATCCAAAGATAAATGCTTATTAATATGCTATTTGTAGAACAAGGAATGATTCCACATCTATGGATGTCACACATCCCTTTAATGGGTATCCACCCTTATGCATTTGGCGCACCCTAATTGCTACCTTCTGTTTCTGTCTTCATATCAGGATATGCGGGCTCTGATTAACAAAATAAATAGGTCTATAGTGGCTCCTTTACCAACCATGTATTCTGGTGCATTGTGAGTCTACTATCCTCTTTATGCATACAAATGTCAAGTTCTAGATGCCATTTGTTTTCAAAATATGCTACTGGAATCTTGTCATATTGCAGAAAACCATCATTATGGTTATCTCTATTGTTGCATTCAGCCTTCATTAATGACGTTGCTTTCTTGTATTTCTTCTCCCTTTCTTCAGTCGAGGACTCATAAAGAGCATGCTACGGAAGAATCCAGAACTTAGACCAAGTGTATGTTTCTTCCCCTTTTGTGTTTAATCTTGAACTGCTTTTACTGAGACAAGCATGTGGAGATATCCTCAGGAAGAATAGCAAGTATTAGAAAAATCATTACTTGGACTTGATTTGTTATATTACTTGTGGTAGTGGGTCAAGTTATCAATGATTGTGATTAGGCTGACAGATATTGGTTTCAAGAAAGTAATAATGGTGACCCTTGTATATTATCATGTAATAAAAATTTACAACTCTTGCTTGAATCAATATGTGATCTACAGAAGATTTGTTATTCTCTTTAATTTTGAAATTCTGGCCTCGAAGTTGAGATGTAAGAGATGTCAAATTTCTAAAAAAGAAAAACAAAATCTTGTTCTATTATGTTGGATGTCTTTTTCGGTATATTAGCTTTGTTGATTGCAATATGGTTTTGCCAAACTTATATCTTAACTTCTTCATCTGCAAACTAAAGCACCTCAATAAAATGGAAATGCATTCAGGCTTCAGAGTTACTCACTCACCCACACCTTCAGCCGTATGTCCTCAAAATTCATCTGAAATTGAATAGCCCTAGGTGCAACAGTTTCCCAACCCGGTGGTCTGATTCCAACTTCATAAAGAAAACAAGATTTGTGGAGCAAGATGTTATGCTTCTTACTGACATGGGGAGAAGGCGGTCGTTCAGCAATGACAGGGCTTTGAACCCCAGTGTCTCTGAAACTGAGCAAGACTACTTCTGTTCTACTCAAAGAGAACAAGAAATTCCAAGTTATTTGTTTGAAAAGTTCACAGAATTTTCTGTCGGTATTGACAATGAAGAGATTACAATTGACAATTCAACAGCCACAAAGTTTCCCACTGTTGCTAAGACCCCAAGATTGACGCCAGCAAAAGTGTCCATCACTCCAAGAAAACATCCAACCCCAGCAAAGATGTCCCAGACTGGTCAAAAACAAGATTTGGTGAGCTACATGTCTATATCTGTGTTAAATAGAGGAATTTAATTGATCTTAATTTCCTAGGTTCATTGACAGTGACATGAAAATATCATCTCTCAAGTTCCATATTATTCACATTTCCAAGTGATAGAGAGCATCATATTTCATTAATTTTTTTTTTAATTTTTAACTTTCCTGGAATGTTTTGGTTCGACACCTTGACTGGTCACACTAATGCGAAAAGCTTTCTATCCTACAGTGTTGGACTCCTGAATGATATACAAATAGTGGAATCTTTTATTTGTCATCTAATTACTTGGGCTATCCTAGCCTCCTAGATTGATAGGTGTCCTCTGCTTTATGTTCTTTACATTTTCATCCCTTGTATCACATATTTGTTTCATCTTTCCCTTAATGTCATCAAATTTGCCTCACGTTCTTCCTATATCTTGTTGGATTTTCTGTGTATATGTGTGTTTAAAATCTAGTAGGAGTTTTGGAAACTATGAAATTTTTAACTTTTATGAAGTCTAGAACTAAATATAAGTGCAAAGCATTGGCCATGTTCTTCTTTGTTAGACGGGAATATTTCTATGAAGTGAGAATGATAATCTTTCAATGTCCTGTTAATTTTGCAAGATGATGAGTACTGGGTGCATTGATACTTAGCCTGCTAATATGTGCAGGTCCCAGTTTCACATACCCCGGCAAGCAAATCATCCTACTCATCGCGCAGAGTATCTCTTCCATTGCCAACAAGGACTGCAGCCTTAGTGACCCCCTACAGAGAAAATGTCGGTTTGCTTCGCAGTGTGGACTCCCCTGATGTTTCTGTTAATGCTCCCCGAATTGACAAAATCGCAGAGTTCCCTTTAGCTTCTTCTGATGATCCCCTTTTACCCATCCGTGGGACCTCATCAACGTCGGCAAAGTGCTCTTCTTCATCAATCGACAGTGCTGACCGTTCTATAACAAAGGACAAGTGTACAGTCCAGATTCTGGACAAAGTTGTTATGACAATGAATGGCAGTGATCAAAGCCCTGGAGTTGCACAAGATGGTAGCGAAGGCTCAGAGCACAATCGTGCTGCTGTATCCACCCATTCATCTTCTGAGTCACGACAAAGGCGGTTTGACACCTCATCGTATCAGCAGCGGGCAGAGGCATTAGAAGGGCTGCTTGAGTTCAGTGCAAGGCTCTTGCAACAACAAAGGTATGACGAGCTTGGGGTGCTATTGAAGCCATTTGGACCTGAGAAAGTGTCTCCCAGGGAAACTGCTATCTGGTTGGCTAAGAGCTTCAAGGAGACCCAAGTCTAAGGTAAAATACTTACGTCTCGCCAAATGGTGCCACTTGTACATATTTGACGTTGTCCCTTTTCCTGGTTTTGAAATTCCAAGTAAAATAAGGATGTCTTCTTACTCGAAGACAGCATGGTGACTGGTGATGTGGATTCGGATCTTCGCATTAACCCCTCCAAATGTGTGATCTTGTGTTTGAAATATGCAATTTGTGGAAAAGAGATGAAAATTTTCTAGATTTGATTCCATTATATGATGGTTAAAATCGGAATTTAATTTTTATATCTTATCAAAATAAAATCAAATATTTATACTTTTAAAATTATGAAAAAAATTTCAAAAATTTCATTTCAATTCAATGTTACATTAATAATTATACTACGGAAAACTAGATATCAACAATTGATTAACATTAATAAATTTTGAGAATATAAAATTTTGATTTATAAAATTTATAATAAAAGGGCTTAACTTCAATATTTTAAGGAAATACAAGGACTAAATTCATATTTAATCTTATATGATCAGCCGCTTGGTGACCCAGGGAATAAAAAAGCATGTTAGGATGCTCGAAATCATTTGATGTTGTGCTATGGTCATATTGAATGCTAGTAGTATTAGTTTATATCAGAATACGAAAATCCTGAACTGGGAATATAAATGTGATTTCGAGCCTGGGCCTGGACCCTAGAGGGCTATTTTTTGCGGACAAGGTCTTACAAGTCCGATGTGTTATGTGCTGTCCATTACTTAAAAGTCCCATGCGAACCGCTTCGAGTTTCGATTTAGAACAAGGATGCCATGCCACATTGAAGTGTCATGTTCTACACTCGCAGCTACATTGAAGTGAATAAACGAAAGGATGGAAGGAGCAGAAGTTCTGGAACTCTACGAAATTCAATACTCCGATCTCATGCTCCTATCATCATCATCATCATCATCATGTTTGCATCATCAAGTAAATATGATAATGGAAAACCTGGGCCCCGTTGGCCCCGGTCTCCTCTCAATTACAAACGTTCCCGACGCATCTCTTATCCGACGAAGGCTGCTCCCTCTCGCTCGCAAGCTGGCTCTCCTTGGCCCCGAAGATCGCAAACGTATTCTCAGAGTAATTTCAACGAACATCTTGTTTGCCTTACGTTTTTAATTCATAATTAGCTTCAATTTTCCTCTTCTTTACTGTGTGCCTTTCTTTGTGTTCCTTGTCTTAATATATTTTCGAAGTCTTTGCAAATTTTAACGTATTGGATCGGGAGCTTTTAATAACGTACAAAACTTTTGATTTTCTTTTTCCTAATTCCGAAGCAAGAGTTCAATAAAGACCTATTCCTCTCCTATAAAAACACTGTTAAATTATATATGTTTTATATATTCTTTCCCTTTCAATCTTTTTGATGTTGTATATTGTTTTCATCGGTCTTGTTTTCTTTGTTTAAGCTATGTTTAGGAGCACAGCTTGGGGAGTGATGTCCCATTGAAAAACCCAGATAGGAACGTCTCCTCTTTCGCGATGCAGCTCAAATACGCTCAAGGTCTTGAATCAATTGAAACTAAACCAAGTCATGGAGTAGGTAGCCATTTGAATTTGGAAAACGAAAAAATCTGTAGAATCAGTGATTTTGAGGATGATGAATTTGATGACCTTGAGAATATGTTCAAGGCGCTAGGATTATGCATGATGGAGCTGGGACTCTGTCTAGCTCGAATTTGTGATAGGGCCATTGGAGGCAATGAGCTTGAGCAAAGCTTATTGAAATCATGTGCAGCAAAAGGGCGCCTTATACATTATCATTCAATAGTAGATAGCCTTGTTCTTAGGGAAGCGGGTCGAAGGAAGGGATCAAGTAAAAGACATGCTAATAATTATGCAAGGAGCGAGCAAAGATTATCAAAAGTTGCTAACTTGGACACAAATGTTAATGAAGTTAGGTCATATGATACACAGCCCAACCTTTGGCAACAGTGGCATTATGACTATGGTATCTTCACTGTTCTGACTGATCCCATGTTTCTTCTATCCTCACAACCAACAACAGCAAGCGATGAATTTTCCATTTCTCGTTATCAAGAATGTGCTTCGCCTAGTGGGCATTCATACTTGCAGATTTTTCATCCTAACAAGAATAAAGTCCTCATGGTGAAGTCCTCTCCTGAAAGTCTTATTGTTCAAGTTGGGGAATCAGCAGATGTATTATCCAAAGGAAAGCTACGGTCAACCCTTCACTGTGTTTGCAGACCAGCAAGGTTGGATAATATATGCAGAGAAACTTTTGTTGTGTTTTTGCAGCCAGCATGGAGTAAAACTTTCTCAATCTCAGATTGTCCTATGGAACATTACAACGCAGTTTGTCAGCCTTTGGAGCAAGCTGAGGAGAGTAACGTTGCTGATCAGGACCAAAATGCACTGACTCAAGAAATTCAAAAAATGGTTCCACCACTTTCCGCACGATTGAAGGATGGGATGACATTTGCAGAATTCTCACGTGAAACAACTAAGCAGTATTATGGTGGCAGTGGTTTACAATCTAATAAATGATTAGCTCGTTTGATTTTTTTTTTTCGTATAGGAATATAGGATGTCCACGTTGGTAGGCCAGTCTTTCATCATATAGATGTCTTTGCAAGAGTTTTAAATCTCATACTTTTACTCACATTCAGATGCATTTCCACTTACCATTCTCTAACAAGTATAAGCCAAATGTAGTAATTCGTTCCCACTATATATATGCTCACTTGTATTTTTTTTTTTTTTCTATCATATAATGCAGTTGTTGCTTTGCTGTAGTGAACTAATGTTTGGTTTTGAATTCTTGAATTGTGTCAAATTCATAAGTTATGCTTAGACTATTCCTTTCATGTACAATTGACAGGTCACAATGAAAAATATTAGGTCAGAAATACCTTAAGACTGTTAAAACCTTGAAGGGAAGCATTAATAGGGAAGGTGTTTTTGGCATTTTCAAGAGTTGAATCTTAGCATATACTAGCATTTAACAGATAAAACTTCTGATCTAAATGATTTGTTGCTGTCTTTCCTTCAATTATTGTAATTTGCTATCAATGTTTGGCTCATTTTGTTAATTATAAATTGTTAGTGGATGTCCTTCATGGACACCTTGATAGTTAGAACTTGAAACTTTGAGGGTTTGAATCTTGAAAAATAAGGATGGGTTCATGAAATGGAAAAAATTTACCTTTCACTATGTAGCCCAAGGGGTAGTGAGTTTTTCATATACCAAGAAGGTAAATTTGAAATCGATGATCAGACAGCATTATCATTGGTGCTTCAAGCATGATCATTCATTATATTTGGAATATATGAGAATTGGTTATCGGTCATTTAGGTCATTTTTTTTTTTGAATAGCAAAGGCGTCAAGTTTATTCATAATGCAAGGACATGAACCCCTCCTTACACATAAACATTAAAGCAAAAAGCTTTGGTTCATATATCAATCCATTTTATTTGATATATGTTTTCAAAAGCCTCCTTAAAAGATCAAAGAAAAACGTCCCCTGTACACATCATCAATCCAAAAGAACAAAAGAAACTCCAAAGAAAGTCATAACATTTTTCTCTCTTAAAAACCAAAAGGTTTCAAGAAAATGCAGACATTTACTAATTTAACTACACATTCTTACATCTCAATTGTCATCTCTCTCAATCCAAAAGGCGCAGGAGAGGGATCATTACTAAAAACCTCAAATACAGATAAAAAAATTAAGGCTCGTTAACAGCCATAAACCCCCCATCAAACTGAAACCAAAAGTTAACCATAGTTGAACCTCACTTCCACAATCAAGATTAAAAAAGAATTTAATACCATCTCAATATCTCACTTTGAAAATGGATGGCAACTTTAGCAAGTGAATCGGTTTCTTGGTTTACCTCTCTTAATGAATATCTGATTTTTCATTCTGTACATATTTCCTTTAACTTGATACATCTAAAATCTCAATCTCCAAAACGCACTCGCAGGTTCATTTAGGTCATTTAACTGGATGCTGCATCTAAATTCTTTGCGTCATGTAACTTTATGGTGGTGCTATACTTGCTCATTTGCCTATCATCTTATTTGTACGAAGTGGTAGCTTTATGCCACGAATTCAGCCTCAAAAATTCAGGTACCAACCCACTATTGAGCGGGAATTAGCACGTTTGCCTGGCCATGGCTGAAGGACAGCGAGAACAAACAGTTGGTACAGTACTACAGTTTGGATGCGACAGAGGATTGCTCTGTTTAAGATTGCAGTGAAGGAATTTCATTGGAAATCCGTAATGGTTGCTATAATCTACTGGGTAATTATTACCACCTAATGCAGAAATAGTAGTTTGGACAGTGAAGAACTGATTGTTCGTGAGTTGGTTAACAGCTATATTACTGATTTCAAACAGCAGGGGATTTGATTCCATGAACAGTGCTTTTTCCGGATATCCAAGTGAAATACATTGGGCATTCTGAACCCAGGTGAAAGTTTAGTCTTAATGCCAAAACCAGATGCAGGAATGAACTGGGAGCTTTTGTGCTTCTGGACATTGGGTTTTTCGCGCTATAGTTCGGCTTGTGTTAAATCTGCTGTTTGCTGAGTGCTGAAGTACTGTAACCGTATCTTATAAGCTACAGTCTGCTGCCCCCTCTCTCTTTGGCTTCAGTATCCTCCAAGCTAATGCCCGCATGTGAAGAAGAGTAAAGTTAAATGGCTTGATAGTCTTTATGGTCCTCCACAGTTAAAAAGCCTGATGTTGCTTTTATCTCTTATATTTAACTTTAGCAAGAAGGTGGAGGATTAAAGTTGTGAAGGGCAACTGTGATAACATATCAAAAGTTGATTTGCTCTAAATATTTACTTTATAGCATCATAGATTCAAATGGTGTACTGGAAAGAGAAAGAGAACTTGCCTCCATAAAAGCTTTTAAGAGGGATAAGTTACGTTACAACGAGTGTTAGAGATCGGCCCTTTTTGTAACAAAGCCTCTCAGATTACGTCTTGGATTCTAAACCGGGTGGTATCTCTGAGTAATAGCACATTCATCATTCAAGGTTGAAGGACAGCCTTGGATCTTTATGACGGAATAGTAAACAATAAACGCTTGAATGAGAAGTTGTAACTTGGAAGGGACAGATTCAAAATGTGCGATGCAAAAGGAAAACGAAAGGAGGGATGATCATTAAGAAAACGAGGCAAAGGGAATAAAGGTTGTGTCTTTAGTCAGTGGTCACGTCGCAAGAAACAAAAGACTAGAAAAAGAGAAAGCTGTTCCTCTTCTCTTCCTTTCGCCTTTGGCTCAGAGGAAATTTTAAAAATTTAAAACAGGAAAAGAAAAAGGGCATATGTGTGCCCTTTGTAAGGACATGAAGGGAGAGGATCGTAGATGAGATCAAAAGAGCGATGATGACGTATCCAGGCACGCGCATTTTAGCATTCGTCTCTCTCTCCTGAGTCCTTTGGGTTGGCAGCTTTGTGCCCAAAACTGTAGTGAAAAAAGGGAAAAAAACACATAAAACCGGTCCAAGGCTCGAATCTGTCGTTTCAACTGGACATCTCAAGGCGTGTCGGCCTTGGACATTAACAAGACCTTAGACAGCCTTGGAACACAATCACTTGGGTCACCTCCCCCTGCCATCTCAGGTAACATTGTCAGCCTCACACAGGGAACACAGCTATTATTTCTCAATTAATTAGGTTGTAGATGGGTTTCAACAAATTGCCAGGCTGGTGTTATTACAAGGTGGGATTACATTTTCTTTTCTGTGGTTAGCGTATAGATTGCGTAGCGATATGCTATCTTCTTTTGCGGTGTCATTTATGAGGTTCTCATAGACATTATTTCCTTCGTGAAAAACAGTCGGCGGTGACTCACTTGCCAGTTACCAAATGCCATCAACTCTTTGGCATTCAGCATGGCTTTGGAGTTAGATTTTGGAAATTGATGCCCCAAAACAGAAGATGCCTCTTTGGTTGGTGGGGAAATTTTTGTTACATGTTTCTTGCAAGTTGCAACCTATAGTGCTGGCGTAACTGCTGCGTACTGCATGGAAAAAAAAACCCAGCCCCACGTTAACGACTTTGACAAAAACCCAAGTTTCGATAGATTATATGGTCTCGCGGCGTACCATCTTTCTTCGTTTTCACCCTTAGCTTTTTCCTGGGGGCTGATTGCTTTTTAGTCACATGCCATCCTCCATTAGTTTTTTCAAGTAGGGAGTATCTTTAGGTCCTGCTTTCTGGATTTCGGCAGCCGCCTAGGAAAAAATGTTCCAGCAACTTTCAGGCTGTGACACGCGTCACTAGAATGCTACATCACTATACTCCCTCCACCAACACTTCTTTAGTCTCGACCGTAGCTGAACCTCTTCTCTTTAGCTTTGACTAGACCTCACCATAATTCAGTTGTATGGTAAACATTAGTGGGAAAATGCCAGTTGGAGGATAATGATTGATTTGGGTAATTGCTTTTTGTCTTATTATATGTGGTTTTCAAGTTTTCTACCCACTATCTCACTTTGAGCAATGCATACCTGTAGTACTTGTTAATTATTGTATTTTATAATGATTAATTTATCATAAATTTTAGTACGTAAATAAGAAAGACCGGTCCACTCTTCAAACGTAAATGATACCCAAAAACCGAACGTAAGCCAAAAGCCTTTCCCCCTTATATAAACCCCCCATAAATCATTACTTTCTCTTCTTTGTAGTCTAAAAACCAAAAACCAACCCCACTTCCACTTTCAAGTTATAACTTCACTTCATGGAAGACGCAAGTCCAAGGACCCGTCGTCGCCCGGAGCACATATCCCACCTTTCAATCTCCGGGACGCAGCTACCAGAGAGCCCAAGGGGTCCAATGGAGTTCCTCTCAAGGTCATGGAGTGTTTCAGCTCTCGAAGTGTCCAAAGCCCTTGCCCCTCTTCCTCCTCCTCATCATCATCATTCTGTCAGTAGCACCGGTACGGCTTCCAAGTCTGCTAGCGGCTCTTCTTGCACCACCACTTCTATACCAGAAGATATAAATGGCGAGACTGAGGAGCTTGATCAGGTTGCTGTTGCCAATCAGTTCTCTTTCACTTCTTCTGCTACTTCACAACTCGTTCTTGAACGCATCATGTCACAATCGGTAAGTGCTACACTACCCATTTGAGGAAAAAAAAAGAGGTGATTAACTTTAGTTTCTTTTTATGTTCAAATAAGTGTTAAGAGACTCACGGTCTTTACTCTTTGTGCGTGCCTTGCTTGTTATTTTTGCTCGTTTATATTTGTAGGAAGTGTCACCATTAACGTCAGGGAGGCTCTCTCACAGTAGCGGACCTTTGATTAATGACAGCCCTCCAGTTTCTCCGTCTGAGGAATTCGACGACGTCGTTAAGGTCTTGCACACATTCCCTATTTCCCCTCTTTCTTTGTTTTTACTTCATAATTGTTGTATTAAATTTAAATAACTGGTACCATATGGTGTATTTTATATTACTGATCTTTTCGGAGGAAGAAAAGAAAGGAAAGAGAAAGAAAAAGGAAATGTTGAACAACACACTTAAGTCAGGCAGTAGACCAATATCTCAGCTTTCTCTGTCTCTTCTCTGCAACGTACACCATCACTTGTCCCCCTCTGATGCTAGTAATCTCTGGATTACTTTAGTACAACGCTGAACAGCAAATACAGAGCAGGAGCTTTTGTCTTGTTCCAATGAAACCTTTTTATATCGCTAACAATCTTCTAAGCTGTCTGTCTTATCAGCCAAAGCTGCCTGTTTCCAGGCCTTAAAAAAGTACTTACCACTTATTGCATCAAATTATTATACAATGTGATTGCCAGCTGTGGGGCTAAGCTTTAGCTCCGAACTGGTTTCTTAATTCTTGTGGCCCAGTTTTGAGTGTCAGGCTGTGATTGTCTACTCCATCACAAAGCTTTTTCGCTGCCACATACTGTAAATTGTTTCTTTTACGGAAAAGCTCTTCGTTGGAATGATGAAGTATATTGGAGTGACCAGCTGATTTGTACAAGTTGTGGATTAATTAACTAATTCTTTGAGATTGGCTTAAATGTTGGAGACATCAGGGTATGAGGACGAAAACGTGAAGTAGGAAAGTGGGAAACGATGCTGGGTTTCAGCTGAAAATGTCATGTGACCCAATGTCATTGCTTTTCTGTTATTGGTCATATGATCCAGCTTCAAAGTCAAAATCATTCCCTCCCACCCCCACTCACCAAGACAATCTTTTACTTGCCTTCACCTGAAAGTAATGCAGTAAGTAGGGACATTAGATTCTTTAGCTTTCAGGTCACATCTGTACAGGAGTGGCACATTTCCATGAGCGGTTGATTTTGTTCCAAAGAAGTCTTCTACAAGGCTCACGTATTAAAACCAGAAACTTTTCTGTTTGCTCAACTTTACCAAGAAGCAATGATCATGAATGTGCTTATATTTCCTTTCCTACTAACCTCATTTTGTTTTAACTTGAGTAATATCTGTTTTTCAGCATGGAACTTATAAAAGGTTAGAGTTCTTGTTCATTAACGAGGATAAAGCCATTGTTACACCGATTGTTGATTAATTAAGTTTCCATTGTTGTCCCATTTTCAAATATTCAAGAGACATGTTGATAAATTGGCTTTTCAATTACAATTCGTGCAGTATTTTCGTACCCACAACTCCATACAACCTTTATTCAATGGGGGCCGCGCAAGTGCGGGTAACGGCGTTAATACTCCCAGCGGGGCCAAGACAGTTGGGAGATGGTTAAAGGACAGGAAAGAGAAAAAGAAAGAAGAAACCAGAGCTCACAATGCACAGCTCCACGCTGCTATCTCAGTTGCTGCAGTTGCCTCAGCCATAGCAGCCATTGCAGCGGCTACTGCGGCTTCTTCTTCTACCTCAAGAAAAAACGAACAGTCAACGAAGACCGACATGGCCGTGGCATCGGCAGCAACGCTAGTAGCTGCGCAGTGCGTGGAGGCTGCAGAAGCTATGGGAGCTGAGCGTGACCATCTTGCTTCAGTCGTGAGCTCTGCTGTTAACGTTCGTTCACATGATGATATCGTAACTCTTACAGCTGCAGCAGCTACAGGTAAAGATTACTGGCCGGAATTTCATTCTATTTGCTGTGTATTCTTAGGTGTGATGCTTGAATAAGCATGTACTTGATTATAAAGAATTAGCTCCCATAAGACTTTCATTTGTATTCACAATGAATAAAATGAACCATCATTAATGGAGAATTGTTCTTTCTTTGCAGCTTTACGCGGGGCAGCGACCTTAAAGGCAAGAGCACTAAAAGAAGTTTGGAACATTGCAGCGGTCCTTCCAGCGGAGAAAGGAATAAGCACGGGATCATGTGCTAAAGTCAATAACGGGCATTCAAACCGCAACTACAGCGGAGAACTTGCCCCAGGAGAGGATTTCCTTACTGCCTGTAGTCAAGAGCTCCTTGCCAAGGGTAGCGAACTTCTCAAAAGAACCCGGAAAGGTAGCAAGTCTGTTCATTTTTGCATAATTACACATTTTCTGGACTATGATTACAAATCATGTATACGTTTACATTTTCTGAATATGCAGGTGACCTTCACTGGAAAGTTGTCTCTGTTTATATGAACAAGACAGGCCAGGTAGCTATTGCTTGAGTCCCAACACATCAGAAATGTTACCATTTATATATGGCCGAGTTTTATCCCACGCAATTACTCAAACATCATAACCATTCATATTTTTAACTTTTGAAGGTGATTTTGAAGATGAAGAGCAAGCATGTTGCTGGGACATTCACCAAAAAGAAAAAAAGTAAGTTTCTTGTAGTAGCAAGACAATGTTGTCAATGTTAACATGAGAAATTCCTTAGATATATTTATTTTCTTTTCGGGGTTTCAGATGTGGTTTTGGAGGTGTACAAGGACATGCCAGCATGGCCAGGGAGACATCTATTCGATAGTGGAGGGCAGCGTCGTTACTTTGGATTGAAGACTGAAACAAGAGGAGTTGTAGAGTTTGAGTGCAGGAGTCAGAGAGAATACGATATGTGGACTCAAGGTGTCTCAAGGCTTCTGGCAATTGTTGCTGAAAGAAAGCACAGGAGACAAAGCTCAACTACATGGCCTCTTGGCGGCAAGAATGCGGACTAATTAGCTCTTCTGCCTGACTTTTCGCTCTATCGCTGCTAACATGAACTAGGGGATCATACGAACCAGGGGCAAATATCTAATTCCGCCATGCATACTTAAAAACTTTTTGAGCTGGTCTGTGTCTGATTAATTTTTTGTTAGGGCCGGGGCCTGGGAAGGGTATAATTAGTAACTAATCAATCAAACAGTCGTGCATGTGTAAGATTGGGCTTTTTGCATGATTTATGGGTATATTTCTCTTCAGCACATTGTTACCCACATCAATCATTTCTATACAAATATAATTAAATTTTAGTCCAGCAACAAGAAGAAGGAAAAAAAAAAATTCATCAATAAATATTTACATGTTTTAGCAACAGGGTTTTATCTTTATTATATATTCATAGGATAAAAGTGATTCATTAATTTTTTTTTTCTGATTTGTCCCAGTATTACGCAATTCTTACTAAAAAACTGTTTGATTTACCGAGACTGTATTCACTTTTTCCATCAGTGGAGAAAAAGATTCCCCCTAAAGCAGCCAAATGGCATCGATCATTAAAGCTTTCCTTACGAGGTAGCATTTCCCCTCAAGCCAAGTTACACGGGAACGGTTCTTTGCTTAAGATTGATGCAAGAACTTAGGTTTCCCTTCAGTTACCACGCAAAGATATAAGGACGTGCATCAACAGTTCCCAACCGAAGATAATTAAGAAAATCAAGTTCACGAGAAAAACTTGGTAAGTTGTTATCTTATCACCTCATTTCCTCCACATTATCTGTTGCCTTCTGCTTTTTGTCAAATATCAATTGAAAACAAATTTAGGGATATACTCAATTGGAAATTATCAAATTGATATAGTTATTCGTAAAAATCAAATATTACATTTTGTTATGTATCACCCTTTTCCCAAATGAAAAACCACTTTTTTGTAATATCCCTAAATATAAATCAAGTAAACTTAATCACCTTTTTGTCTGATGAATTTACCACGCTAACTACTGTTCTATTATAACTAGATATGATGCCCAGGCGTTTGCCTGCCTACCTACCATCATGCCAACACTCACAGTCTGCGCTCAGCTGACTGTACCGACCGCACTTTTGCCTCCACAGGCACTCCGGTTCCAACTGTGAAAGACATCCAAGGAAAGCAATCGGAACCCTCATTATTTTTCAGTAACAACAGCCAAATGAGACAGTGTACGTGAGCATTAAGTTAGTTGTTCTACATCCCTTGCAGTTGTTATCAATAAATAGAAGCAAAGATTTTCCAGGAGGTGAGACACCGCACCATGAAAAATGCAAGCAAACAGAAGCTTCCATTCTATCAACTATGACATCGGTGTAACAACACACATTTGGCTGTTTTTACATCCTGTTCATTTACCACCTAAAAAATATAGGAAAAAGAAGCTAACAGAAACATTTATGCGGTCAATAAGAATTTCTTATGAACCTGGAAAAGGAAATAGGATAGGCACTGTGATCTTCTTTTAACTATCAGCAGCTCTGAAAACAGTAAGCAGAGAGAGGAAGAGATTGATTATGTCCAAATACAGAGATACAGCAGCCCATATGTATTCATCATAAGAGTAGCGCTTGATCAAGTTGTCTGTGTCGTAGATGATATAGCCGCAGAATATGATAGAGGCCAGGCACCCATAGATCATAACAGATAATCTACCCAGTGGGAAGAGAATCTGCAGCCAGGAAGACGAACACATTTCAGCAATGAGAAATTAATCATTTGCATATAATACCTATATATAAATAAGAAAAAAACAGTTAAATAAACATGGCAAGATCAAAGTACCTGGATCAAAGCAAAAACCATAAGAACAATGATGGCACCAAACAAGAAAGGCCCGAGGAAGTTGAAGTCATGGCCTCTCCTTGCAGCCCAGAAGGTGTACAGAGTAAGAGCCACGACCACAACAGCTGTCAGAATCACAGACTCCAAAATAACCTTCCCTGCTCACAAACAAAATGCATACAAAATTTTGTTAACACAATGGTACATTAGGCAGCATATATGTAAAAATTTACTGCATTTACCAATTATACAGAGAGTTAAGCTACTCCTAATATAGTTATTCTTACTGAAATGCCAAATATACATGAAACTACAAAAGCAAATAGAAACGGCGTAGCAATAACTAGCAATTCTTTTTCGTTGTAGAGGGAAAAAAGAAGTCACAGAGGAAACCCATTACTTAATCTGCCAATGTTAATTCATACTGAGAAGCTCTATACTAAAGATCAAGTTATCTATCTTAAAATACAAATTCAACAGTTATTCATAAGGAAAATGAAAAACAACAATGAAAGAAAATAAATAGAAAAAATGCATACAATTAGATAAAGAGCCCCAAAAACTGACCTCCAATTGCATTGGAAGCCTTGCAATTTTGAAAAGTAAGAAAAGATTAATTCACCCATACAACTTAATTACCAAAAACTCCATTCACAAAATTCAGTCAAGTATTTAACTTACTATTAAATAATAATCGGTTTAAGTTCCTTCATCTAATTCTTAAAAGAGGCAAGTATGACAATCCTCTTCTGGGAAAATATTAGCTCAAAGTTAGAGAAATTGCTATAATTTTATTCAAAAAAATCATTTCAAGTTCTACAGTTGTACCCAATAACTTCAACATTGAGTCAATAAAAGAACCTTGCCCAAGTTATAGTAATAAAAGAACAATTTCAAAAATCCATTCCATCTCTTACCACTGGTAAAAGCGCACGTTAATCCAACTGCAAACGCCAGAGAAACGGTAAAAACTCCAAGTAGAAGATAGTTCACGGGATGCCTCTGGTGATAGTAATACAGTGGGCACAAAACTGCGAACAACAAACCAATTTTCGTTTTAGTCAACCAAAAAGTCACAAATTACAAACACCAAAAAAAAAAAAAGGAAAAAGAAAAGCAGAAACACACCAATGAAAGGCGTGATTATTAGGACTATGTAAAGAGCCAATCCGGCGCCAGTGCTGACAAAGAAATGAGCAATCGGGCGGACCGTAACCACCGTGGAGGCGACCGCGATTGTAGCCAACAATTGGATGGCCACGATTGAGTAAATTTTCCGGATAAAATCCCACCTCATCTCCGGCGGCTCCAACATCATCGGATACAAAGGCCTGGGTCCGGCCTCCGTATCATTTTTCCGGTACGCCTGATTCCACATCATCCTAAACTTCAAAAGCTGAGAGTGGATGGAAAGGACTTATGGATAGTGCTGCTAGCTTTTAGGGCTGAATTTTTGGTATTCGTTATTTTCCTTTTTTTCGCTCCTTTGTTCTCCGGTTGTGAAATGAAGGAAGTTTTAGGGGGATATTATAAAAGCGGCGGTCATGGGTGGGAAGAAAGTTCTTGATAGGTCTTGCAACTTCGTGTAAGAGCTGTGAAGGTTTAACGCGATGTTGACACGTGGAAGAAAATAATAAATTTGAGAAAACGTGGATGGGTCGGAAATTTTCTGGAGCGTACGCTAGCGAGAGGGATTTGGATGAATGCCTCTTTTCTTTTATATATGCAAAAATTACAAGTGATTAATCAAAGAGGAAAGCATATACTGTGGGAATAAGGTTCCTTGCAAGTAAATGCCGTTTTCAGTTCTTTCGTTGGAAAGAGTTTTCTAGCAAAGTTCCATTTTTAGTTATATTTTAGTTTTTTAGAAGTTTCAGTTATTAGGGAATGGTTTATTGCCAAACAAAATAAAAGCTCCGTATAATAGTTTTAGAACATTGAATCCACTGGATTTAAAGTGGATCCATATAGTAATAGTTTTATTGGTTCAACTAAAATAAAAAGAAAAAGTGAGAAGAAAAGCATTTAAATTTGGGCTGCACCCATTCTTAATTTGACATGTAAAGATAGCTTTTACACTTGGAATTGTCTATCAATCCATATCCTCTTTCCTTATTCTCTAAGCATTTGATTCAATGCTTCTTGCGGGAGCACAAGTGATGTACTGTACGCCATCAATGCACCCATAGAGATGATGACGCTGTGGGTGGAAAACTTGATAGAACTCTGATGACTAATTCCTAGTTCAAATGTTGAGTATTGACGCCCAGGTGTTTTTGTCCACGGCCTTGCCTTTATCCACCTCTTATCTACATTTTTCTCACCACCACAACCTTTTAAATTCTTCAATAACTAGACTCGTAATAAGAATTTTCATTGTGCCATTGTCGATGTTCGGAGGATAACTATTAAGGATTATACCATGATTATATGTTGAGAATAGGATGAAAAAAAGAAGAAAGAGTATTTGACAAGAGTTTAGAGAGAGTTTTCATAGAGAATATCTAAGAGAATCTATTGAATTTCTCATGTTTACTTAATTAAAAATAGTTTCTTAGAAGTGGTTGGTTTGAAAATATTTATTGGACATCATGGAAAAAGCACATTTAGGGAAAACATGTTCATTATGGAAAGAATATGTTTATCATGACAAGAACAAGTCCATTATGGAAAAACATGTTCATCATGGGAATAGTGCATTATCTCACTATATATATCTCTTTAATATTGTAAAACATTCTTATGGTAAAAAGAGAGGACATGTAGCAATAAGAAAAATAGAATGCACTAAAGGCAATAAAGAAGAAAATTGAAGCAATCCTTGAAATGTAAATGTTTTGGTGACAGATGGTGAAGAATAAAAAAAAATACAAAAAGCGGTGGAGCACAACAAATAGAAAGAGTTGAGTAAAAAAAACATTTGGAAGAGCTTAGAGAGAGTTTTGAGAGTAATCTTTGTTGTGTTTCGAATTATTAGCCTTCCCCCTTCTACTTAATTGCCAAACTCTTATATTTATACTAAATAGGAGCGACATCTTAGGAGCAGTTGGGAAGAGACAGAGTACTTTAGTAAAACACATTCAATCATTGAAAAAGGTACTTGTTATGGGAAGAGCATATTAACATTTAATAAGAAGGACACACATGTATATATAAATATTTTCTTATTTGATTATTTGATTCTAAAATATATAAATTAATTTATCTTTTTTACAAAAATTAAGTTTGAATTCACCTTCTATAAAAAAAATTTGAAAAAACTTCCCACCTGAAATTGAATTTAGATGAATAACTTACATTACTTTAAAATAAAATAATATAAAATGACTAAATAAATTTTTTTTCTTCTATTTATAATAGTATAAAAATTTAAAATTTATTTAACTTAGTTTTTCACTTGAGCTAAAGTCAAATTAGTAAAATATGTTGATTTAGTTTTTTCTTTTAAAAAAAATGAAGAACAGATATATAAAGTTAGTAATGATTATAAAAATAATTCTTCATTTTGACTTGCTTAATTTGAAAATGAAAAACCTTTTGTTACAACCATAGAATCCGAGCTCCACCTTTCTATTTATTTATTTTTTATGTTTTTGCTTTGTTTGATATTTCAAGTAATATTTTTTAACTTAAAATTTCCTAGTTTAAAAACTACATTTATAGTTGATAAAGTTAAATATAACTGTAAATATTTGTACCATTTTATTTTATTAATAACTTTTTTGTAGATTCAAATTAATAATTTAAATTTAAATTTAGAAAAATTTGATTGTGGTATTTGAATTTAAATAAAATCATTTTATAAGAAATTTTAAGTAAATTTAAACAAAAGGTAAATTGGGTAACGGTTAAATAATTTCAAAAGAATGTGTATTTATAAATTGTAAAAGTTGTAACTAAATCAATATATTTAGTAATTTTATATTATTTCATTTTAACGTAATGCAAGTTATTCATCTAAATTTGACTTTAGGTATAAAACTTTTTCAAAAGTTTTTTTATAAAAAGAGAATTCAAATTTAATTTTTTTAAAAAAGATAAATTAATTTAAATATTCTAGAATCAAATAATCAAGTAAGAAAATATTTATATATATTTTTTAATATCATAAATCTTTTACAATTAATTATTTAGTTTATTAATAAGCATATCAATAATCTACCTAAAGATTTATATTTTTCAAATATTTTTTCAATTTAGTCTCTCAACATCTCAATTTTGTTCAATTTAATCCTTATATTATATATTTTTATTCAATTTAGTCCCTATGACGTGATAAAAAAATTTTTTTGAAAATTTTTTTATATGCCATGTGGTATTGATATATCAACAAGTCAGTGCCACATTAGCAATGCCATGTCATTGTATAGTGTCATGTGATATTGCCACATCATCATCTCAATGCCACATCTTCAAAATGTGTCATATTAACACTAATGTCATCTTTAACGGTAAAATTAGATGTTGTTAGGAAAAGGGACTAAATTGATATAATTTTTAAAATTAAGAGATTAAATTACTTCAATTTTGAATACATAGACTGAATTGAATAAAATTGAAAAGTATAGAGATTGGATAGGTCTTTTAACCAAAAGAAAATTTTGGTATTTCAATAAATGAGTGGTGTCATGTGACCGCACTTCACTTCATATAGGACCGCCCATGATAGAACATCGATGTCATCTAATCATATGATTGAGTGCTTTTGCATAAGTAGAGCTCTCATCTTTTCCAATGTCTAATGCACTGATTGTTATGAGTCTTCAATTTCATTCTCTTTATTCTTCTGGTATTAGTATGTAAGATCACCTTCTTTAACCAGTTGAGAATATTCAGTCGATGGGGTATTCTATTTCTAAAGTTTACTTATCATATATATTAATCATAATCAATAATTTAATATATTTGATAAGAGAGCTTCAGAAATAAAATACTCCAACTGCTGAAGATTCTCAACCGACTAAGGAGATGATCTTACGTATTAATACACTAAACATAAGGGATAAGGCAATGAAGTTAAAGGCTTTTGTCACTAGGTTAGGCGCCAATCCTCCACAGAATTCAAGGCACATGAGGCATTGAAGAAAAATGTGCATCGGATGGAGAAACAAAATTTGGTGTAAATGAACTCCATGAAATGAATATGTGGAAAAATTTTGGTATTTTTTGAGATCTATTTTTTCTCTTTGTTTCTCAACTAACTTTGGTGTAAATTTTTAATTTTTTTTAGCAAAAATCAAATAAAACATCTTTTTGTCCTAGGTTTGTCCACATATGATACCAAAAATGACTCCCATAATCCTTAGTCTACCCACTTAAAAATCAGGATGATATTTCATTTCTTTGATACTAATTCTTTTAAAAAATCTATAACTATAATTAAGGGAAACCCCAAAATTGCCATAGCTTTTCACCACGTGGAGTGTCATTTTTTTGCAACGTGGATACTTCAGTTGTCTAACATGTAGATTTTTCTATTTTTCTCGAGGTCTTTTTGAGCTTGTAGTGTTATATTTGGGGTTTTTGGTCTTTTTCCTTTGGGTTTAATTTTCTCCGCCTGTGTGTTCTGTGTTTTGCCTTTTTTTTTTTTTCTCAGTCTTTCTCTTCTTCTTTGGTTTTCCCTTCTTGCTTTCTATTTGATGTTTTGGAAGCTTTAGAGAAAGAGGTTTTTTGCTTTCTTTTTTTATAATTTCCTTTCTTTGTTTTAACCTTTTTCTTCGTCATTTTTCTTCTTTCTTTTTTGGTTTCGTTTTTACTGGTTTATTTTTTTTGGTTGATGAGTAAGTTTTCTTTGGTGGTGCAGTTTACACTTTTGTTTTGGGTACTACGTTTTTCAATTTCTTATTCTTTTTATAAATTTTTAGGGGCTTTCGTTTTGGATTTACCAATTTAATCAATAAGATTTTCATTTTATTATGTGATTTTATATCAAACTAATTGTAATTGTTTATTTTCACTTTGTTTGTAGGATTTAGATATTGAGTAAAATACGATAAGTTCTATTTCTTGTATTAATTTTAGAATATGATTGTTACTCTTTATATTTGTTGCTTTCATTTCTTTTATTTTTTAATTTAATTTTGCTTTCTCCGTTTTCAATCTTTATTTTTCATTGTTTGATACAATATTGGGTTTCCGTTGGCTTGTTTATTAATAGAAAAGTCTTCTCTGTGACTATAATTTGCTTTTTTTTAAAAATTAAAAAATATAAAAAATAACTTTTCTTTTAAGCTCAATTAAAATTTTTTTTTTAATTTTAATTATTTTTTGTTAATTTTTAGCATGAATTGACAATAATGTCATTTAAATAATTTTAGACAAATTAAAATGGTTTCAATTTTTTTTATCCCATCATCCAGATAAAAATTTTAAAATTAAATCTCGATTTTTTTCTTTGATCAAATACTATTTATCTCGTCATTCAAAGAACAAAGATGACAAAAAGCTGTTTCTTATTTTGTTTTATTTTTTTGGATGGTAGATCTTAGAGTTCTCAAGGGTGATGAACAACGAATTTGTTTTTTTATGGTGATTATAGGTAGCATGATAAATGTAGTAATTGGATGCTTTCTAATGATGACTTGTTTCGTAACGTGTGCTGCGATGGAGATGCCTGTGTTAATGAGTTGGATCGGATTGGTTAACATGATGGGTTGAGAAAGAACGAACAATTAAAGCATGTTTGATAGGTTTTATGGTGGTTCACAATTTTATTGTGTCTAAGATTGGGATAATTGTTAAGCATGTTTGCTAAAGATTTTAAGTTTTTTTATGAGATTTTGAGTTGAAATTGTTCAGGAAATATTTTGTAAAGGAAGCATATTTTGTTTTTGCATAAGGCGAGTGAGCAAGGCCCTCTAAATAAGAATATATTATATCTTACTTTGGAGGGTTATGGAGTTTTGTAACTTATCTTTTAGGAAATACACAATTTCATAGCTTAGCAATATATATATATATATATATATATATATATATTTATGTGTGTGTGTTTTAAGTTCTTGAGTTTATTAGTTTATTCATAGAACTCAAAATTGAGGAGTTGAAATTGATTAGATTAGTTTTTAAGTATTGTGAGATTGATTTTTAGGCATTATGTGACTTAATCATTGCGTGACCAATTTTTAGATATTATGTGATTAGTTTTAGGTATTACGTGACTGATTTTTAAACATTACGTGATTGATTTTTAAGCAATGCCTAAGTCACATAATGCCTTACTAATTAGTCACGCATAAATCATACAATGCCTATTAACTAGTCAAGCAATGCCATGCTAACCAATCACGTAATACTCAAAAGTTAGTCACACATTGCCCAAAGACAGTCACACAATATCTAAAAATTAGTCATATAATACTTAAAAACTAATTACGCAATGCCCAAAGTCAATCATACAATGCCTAAAAACTAGTCACACAAAGCCTGAAAACTGATTACGCAATACCTAAAAATCACTAAAATTACTAAATTTCATTTAACAACATCAACAACTTCAAACGATACACAATATTCCATTTAACAATATAGGTAACGAACATGCCTACTTGACAAAAACTTATTCAAAATGTTCAAAAGTTGTTTTTCATATATCAAAAATCATTCCAAAATATTTAAAAATATTCAAAACGCTCAAAAGTTTTCTTCGTATATCAAAAACTACTCTAAAATGCTCAAAATACTTAAACATTTTTATTTCTAATAAAGAATACTCTAAAAATAAATGATCTAGTAAGGAAAGCTCAAAAAATAAGTTGGTTTGAAGCGCAAACTTAAACATACTTGATTTGTTAATAAGTTTCAAGTTGAGGTGCGAAGCTAAATAAATAAAACGGTTTCATTAAGGTAATTTTGTTTAAATTTTATTCTCTTAACTAAAAATAATTAAAATTATAAAAAAGTTTATTGTCAAAAATGCCTTATACATAGGGCTCATTTAAAAAAAAAACCCAAAAATTTGCATTCAGGCCAAAAATAAAAGAATATATGACTCTAAAACTTTTTTCAATTCCTTCTTGATACCGTTTCCGTGTTAGCGAAATTCCATGTTATTTCGTGTATGACTGTAAAAATGTCTTGGTAATTGTAAACCAGCAAGCCTTCTCCTTTTTGTATGAAGGCACCAGACTCTCCTCAACAATTAAAGCATTACTTTTGTTTAAAGATACAATGCTGTCACAATGGCTGCACTTATATGCTGCATATATTTTTTGTGAGAGAATGCCAATACCTCTATCTGATAACGTATCTAACATTACATATCTTCTTTTTGTTTAGGAACACTACATATCTATTTTGCCAATTCTCCAACAACTGAATAAAAGAACCGAATAAAAAGAATATTGACTGTCCCGAGCATAGCACACGGGTATCACTCTAGATTACTGCAATAGAAACCAAATATTTTTTATTCTACCTTTTGTTACTTCTCTCTGAGTAACCTTGGATGAGTATTATGAAGTGTCATTTAAGCCAAAACAGTGGTTATTGAGCTCTTCAACGGCGGAAACTTTCTCTGCATTCTTTAGTTTTGCATTTGAGTGGTGTATGAGCTGCCATCAATCCAATGATGAGGTGTAATAAAAGATCCTTACTTAAGGAATGTTAATTAAATAAAGAATTTGGGAAGATGGTTAAAAATTTAAGAAAATTAACCAAGGGAGCCCAAGTAGGCATATATAGAAGACGAAGAAATATATGGAGGGGAAAGTCAGGGAGGCCCACCGCCCATGGTCCTTGACTTCTTGCCGCCTGACCCCCCTCAAATCTCCCTTCGCTTCCTGCATGCTTTTGGTAAAATATAAGGAATTATATATGCATTTGCTGAGCAGAATGCGGTAATGGAATGCAGGAAAAGAAGTTAATGTCTGATAAAGTATGACAGCGGGCCAAGGGAAGTATTCTACCCAACACAAGTTGATTATGCTTTTCAGTTAATCCTTTCTTTACGTGTTACTATACGTAATACCTTGCTTGTGAGTTGTAACTAGACGAGGCAGCTTCTTCCTTATTGATAAGTTTGGGTTTAGGACATCGAGGATGTTTAAAGTGTTAATTGATGTTGTACAATGACGGCTACGCTTGGCGGAACTTGAATATAAAGGCCTTGATTGCTGTTTCGTAAAAATGGCGATATCAGTTTAATGTAAAGATTTTATTGGAGAGGGGTTTAATAAATGTTTGAGTTTATTAACTTACTGTGAAATAATTGTTAATGTCATGGCAATGGCACAAAATATCAGTTTGTTCCCTGAACGCCGGACTGTTTATTTCTTAATTGTCTCGCGTCTTCATGTGTATGCAATAGGGCATTAGGAATAGTGGAGTTGGAGATTGATGCTCAAAAATTTCCATTCTGAAAAGCATGTGATTGCTGTCTTATTTATTCACCAAGTTTGTTCTTCCTGAAGTCTCAGAATTATTCCTTTCTTGCGATTGGAAAAACCACGACCATTCCTTTCTTTGGCTCTGGCGTGTCCCTCTTTTCCTTTCCTTATTTTAACAAGCAATTGGTTGCAAAGTAACTTTCACAGAAATTACCCAGAGCATCAGTTCATAGTAGGTTATGAAAATGTTAAATATACGTTGTCAGTACTTCAGCTTCCACTGGGAAGAGGAAGAAAGAAATGGATTCCAGCATCAGTATAGAAAAACAATTGTTCAGAAGTGCCATGAAAGGAGAGTGGGATGTTGCTCTAGAACTATACAAGAACAACCCAACGGTTCATGTGGCCAAGATCAGTAGATCAGGGGACACAGCGTTGCACATTGCTGTCTCCAATGTCCAAGAAGGCGTTGTACAAAAGCTGGTCGATTTGATTTCCGAGCAGAGTGAACCCAGGAAGGCTCTGGAAATTAAAAATGAGCAGGGGAATACCCCTCTGCATATTGCAGCTTCGCTAGGGAATGTGAAGATGTGCAAATGCATGGCTGAAGCAGACTCATGGTTATTGCAAGTTCGAAACAATGATGGAGAAACCCCTCTCTTCGTGGCCGCTCTTCATGGCAAAAAGGATGCCTTCCTATGCCTCAACTCTTGCTGTCAAGACAAAGAAGCAGGCTATTCTTATTGCAAAAGGAAGGATGGTGAAAATGTTCTCCACTGTGCCA